ATTTTGAAGACCCTAATAAAGATTCGCAAACACTGCACTTTCTTAAACTATACTGATTGCCACAGTAATAAATTAGTGATGCCAAGAGAAATGTGACTTCAATCATCCAGACATTATATGATTGAAGTTTCATTTCATATTTAGTCAACCATTTAGACATTTAGGCACATAATATTTATTTAGTCAACTATTTAGGCATTTAGTCAAATTTAGACTTTTGACATGTCGAAAAAAAATAATACATGTCGAAATATATTTAGACACTAATTGTCTAAATAGTTGACTAAATTAAGTATTTCGACTAACAACATTATTCCGGACAAATTGAAGGGTAACCTATTCTATATTTTATCCGCAAATGATGTTGAACTTGGTCGTTGGGGTCCTATTTGAGGGATAACAATTGTAGTATACACTTTAGCATAACGATTTAGAGATCATAACCTGACATACCTAAAACATAGTAATAACCAGTAAACTAATTCTTATTAAACGCAGTTTTTCTAGAATTATATAATAAATTTTAAAGTTTATATATAAACTTGAGACCAAATTTAACCCATAAAGTTTTAGTGACAAAAACAAAATCTGCATTTAGAGAAAGTTCGTGTATCTTCTAAAATTCTTTAAATTTGTGATTACTAATTTTAATGTTGCACATGTCTGCTGTAACATTGTATTATAATGAAAATTTCAAAATGCGGACTGCGAATTCCTGACATTAAGCGATGTTAAAAATCTTCTGGTCTAATCCTATAAATATTTACCCCTGTGAGCAACAGTTCGAATTTAGTGTTCTCTGTACTCATTAAGTATTTGTGCACGTCAAAATTTTACTGTTCTCTGTAATAGTTTTGTACGCAATAAATAATATTTAAGTTCTCATGTAAATTTTTAGAGAACACAGATTAGTAATTTTGTCCCACAACATATTTTTCTCATGAAGATAATCTTTGAAGAAATTTCTGACACTGTTTATGAGAAGCATGGGTTACCATACTAATATCCTAACAGCACATTCATTATTAAAAAAAATGGTCATTATTAATGACATAAAATCACGTACGTACAGTACGTAAGCACAAAATGGTGTTTATTACATTTGAAACATGTACAAACAATTACGTAACCACTAAAGATTAGAAATCAATTGTTAACGATTTTCAAAACACCTTTAGACTTTTGCGTACCTTTGAAACAAAGTTTTTAGGAGTTCAGATGTACCCAAAGATTTTTAAAAAAATGTACTCATTTATCAAAAGCATATCTTTATTTGTACCTATCAAATGATGATAGAATTTGAAATCGGAATATCAATCCCTCCAAAAAATATATATATATAAGAACGTCGTCGTAGATGTTGAATTACTCATACACACAAAATTTGAACAGATAACTAAGCAGGTCTTACTGTTTGTTTCCTTTCAAGCTCAAATGGTTTTGGATAATTTGAACTAGCTTTCAAATTATTCTAAACTAAATTTTGAGTTTGAAGAAACCTTAATTTCAAAAATATTCGTTCGTTTATCTTGCAATTAAGACTTAAACAATAAGGTAACTATTTAGATTCTGTATCTTCGTTGTTTATTAGTATTCTGATATTCTGACATCATTTTGATATATTACTTCAGGACGTATATCCAGATACCATATCTAAAATTACATTCTTAAATAATTGTCGTCTCTTAAAATGGCGAATGTTTCGGTTATATCTGGGCAAATCGCCGGTATTCCTAATCTGCACGAATTCGATACTCCTCAAGTTATAACTGAATTGGCGAATCACTGGGATCAACAAAGATATGTAACTGGATACGAAGTCCTCAAGTATAGAATTGCTCCAACTTGCAATAACGTTCATAATATCTATAACCATACAACTATTGATCAAATAGCTAAATATATTTGGATACACTTTACACCACCTACAAAACGTGATGTTTATACTAATGTCGCGTTTCGTACAAACGAACGTAAATTTGGTCCATCGATTGACAAACGTCCGATGAGGGATCCTGGTATTGGACAACCCGCTCCACATACCGATTTTTCAGATCAGCTCTTTAATGGGTCTGATCACATAGAAACAAAACCGAAATCACCTTTCAATATGGGGTGACGACTTTGCATTTTCGAAACTAACGAAAATTTTTAGTACTATAATTTATAATTTTAATTAAAACTTCCTAGTTTCGAAATGGGGGGTTTGAGCATAGTTATATATTCTAGCTTTATATTATTGGAATGTGGCTATTTCTAAGACACAACTCTTTAGAAAGTTTGAATAGAATTATACTTCTAGGAGAATATTGGAAGTAGATAATTAATCTGTTCGAAGGACAAAATATAATATAGGTGACATCTTAATAAATAATCAACTGATTTAAAGGTGTCACCTATACTATATTTTATCCATTGGTTCAAACAAAAAATAAATAAAAAAATAAATAAAGTGATAATAATTAAGGTTTTATTTTTTTCTCACATGCTCAAGTTGGTCGAAATGGCTATCAAATTTAAATCAAAAATACATCATTACGAGTGACTCTTGACATGGAAACCATCTTAATTAGGTGAAAGTATTCGGTCAATTATGTAAAATTGGCATCATAAAAATTTACTATTGATGGTTTTTTTTTTGATAATGTACGCATAAATCATAATTGTTTACATCAGTAACACTGCACATACCGATACGTAATATAATGTTTATAGTTATTCTACGTACGTAGTACTGTATCACATTTGACAAATGAATTAAATTATTTACAAGTTTATTTATACCGTAATAGCATAAATTCTAGCTGCTTGTAATTTGTTTTAAAGATGCAAGCAGCTAGAATTTAAGGGTTGAAATGCTATTACAGTATAAATAAACTTGTAAGTAATTAATGTAATACATACAGTACTAGTAGAATCAAGAGTTGTAACTATGAACATTATATCACGTACAGTACGTATGTGCAGTGTTACTGATGTAAACAATTGTAATTTAATAATATTTAAAGAAATTTCTTACGAGCTTGTCTTTATCCTCTATTATCTCAATCATTTCTTACATTTGTTTATTTTATCATTTGAACTTTGAAGTGTCTTAAAAACTAGAGCCAAATTACTTAGAAGACAACAGTTTTGCTATACATCATATTACAATATTATTATTGTATATAAGACGCATATCAACAACAGCCTTTTTGTTAAAAAAAATAACCAAATAAAATTTTTAAAAACAAAACTGTACTATGCTATACTATATGTAAGAAGCTTCAGAGCATGATAAATACCAATTACTTGGAAACAGAGTTAAGAATTAAGTATATAGTTTATTTTGGGGCTTTAAAATTTTAAAAAATTCTTTAGTAATTTTTCTCTTACTCAAGTACTATACAGGTTTTTTCGACCTATTTCATTTTTTAACCAATCAAATTCGTTTAAATACCAATCAAATTCGTGTTTCAATCA